CGAGCTGTTTTAGAAAGGCTAGTGATAATCAGAGACTCTCAAACAGTATCAGAATCAGCTGCAGGGACGGTGAAAACATGGATTACTGGGTTCACATCCCCAGTTTCCCATCCATTAGGTGCATCTCTACCAAGTACATATAAGATGTTTGTGACAGTTAGAGAGTCCCCGTGGACCTACTCCAACAGCCCATGCTGGGCTTTGGTTTTCAGGACCCCACCCCCCCATTCTGTAAGACTCTTTTTACTTAGACCAAGTTCACCATCTACATCATAACTACTACATCCAAGCCCTTGGGAAATGGAGAGTTAGTGTCGTCATCTCCCCAGCCTCATGCTATTTTCCTACGAGATAAATACAAGGCAAGATGGAGTATATTCTATAATGAAAGAACAGGAGGAAGTTTAAGGAGACAAAGGTGAGTTTTGTCTGGGTAGGAGGAGAGTTGTGCAGGTCTTGGAAAAAGAGTTCAAGTTTCTAGCCCTTGCTCATTCCCATTTCCAGAGCCTCAGGATCCTACAATTGTGTATTGGCTTGGCTGCTCCAAAGGTGCTCTATACGTGGTACTCGGTCTCCAGTACCTAGTTCACCATTTCATAATCTATATGGATTGAATGGCGCATTGGGGGAGTGAAGTAGGATTGGCAAGGTCAGTGTACTCCAGCGTTTGGAGGAGCCTGCCTGCAAGGTGCTATAGTTTAGGCCCTGTTGTAAGTTAATCATTGGCGCATTTGGAGAGGAAGTGATTGACACAAAGTCTGCCATGGGTCTGTAACAGGAATTGGAGGAGGGAGAGTCTGGAGGTAAAGAACCAGAAAAGATGATAGCACAGGAGTCAGATGAGGAGCTGTGATGGTCAGGAGAGGCACTGGAGCGAATGAGCAGAATGGGCAGCTGCTGTTGGAAGTGAGGGCATGGTTGGAGATCAGGAGACTTTCGGTCCAAACTCATAAAATGGTGATGTTTCCCAAAGATGAGAACTTGAGGAAGGTTGGATTCTCTTCTCTCAAAATAAGGGGCTCATGGAAAACAAAGAGAGAAAATTACAAATAACTGATTCACCTCTGTCACATGGGAACTGTTGCTACCCTTGGATGGCCATTCCACTAAGGCTCTGGGCATGTCTGTCGGAGCTGGCACTATGGAATGCCAGCAACATCTTCCATATTCTTTTGACCAACTAACACATAGCAATGAATTGTGCCTTTGGAAAGACAGTCCATGTAAATGATGGTTGCCACCCTGTTTATGACTCCCAGCTGAAGAGAAGAACGGCAGTGCTGTAAGCGCTTTATGTCACCCTGCCCCTGACCATCGTCACCTTCCTTCCACGGTTGGATGTATTTCTACTCCAGGCTCATTTTATTAGTCTCTAAACCCAAGCCTGTTCTTTTCCAGACCTACTGGTCAGGACTGAGTTGCAAAAAACAGAAATACTTTTAGCTGTTTGAAGCAAGACGGAATTGAGAAATTGAGCAACTGCTGATTAGTGGAAGGGCTGAAATAAATGGACATTCACCTGGGAAGACGTGCAGAAGTACCCACACTGCAACTGAACTGGCTGCCGGGGGAACCACTCCTCCTGTCTCAGGAAAGCTGAGAACCCAAAACCCATTCTGCTAACACGGGCCCTTAGTTAAGAGTCAGGGAATCACGTGTCTTTGTCCCAGATTTTTAGTCTTATTTGTTATCCTCCCTGGCAAAATAAAAATGAAACAAACTAAAGCAGTAACTTTGGAACGCTGCTGTGGAAGAACTCGGTGTGTCCTGACTGTGCTTGCAACAGAAACCTCAGAACCTCCTTCCTTCTACATGGTACATGTGTGAGCACCCCTAGAAAGAGGTCCCAGGTCATATCTAGGACACCCCAGCTGCAAGAGAGTTCTTACCTCGTCGTCCTCAACACCATCAGGAGGACTGACTTTCTGTGTATGCAGCTTGCTGGGAGCTGCTTGTAATTTCTCTTTGAATCCAGATATTTGACTAAAGACAGGTAAGAGGTGACTTTCTCCAGAAGTTGGGCTCTGAGAGTTCAGAATATTATGAGACGGCAAGTCTTTTGGGTTTGTGTATGTTTAGCCTTGGCAGTTGGTAACTCACGAAGCTATTATAGGTGCCTTTAGTGGAATGTTAGGAAATCAGAGTGTGTCAATCATGTGTGATTGACATTGCTGGAATCCGACCAAGCCTGATTTATGTTTATTTTATACTTATTACAGCATGCTGACAATAGAGCATTAACTATTAAGAAGTCTCTTAAGTCATTTATTATTGATTACCTCTGCTCTCAAACTTTGTTTTATACTAAATATGCCTGTATGCTACCCATTCTTAGCTATAAGCCTGTGTCGTCTACGGAGGGAAATGTGATGCTAAACATCTTCAACTTGGCAAGATCTAAGCCTAAAGGGAAAACTACAGTGCATTGGCAGTCCTACTTAGGTCGGTGTTTTGACCCCAGTCTAAGAAATTTTGTTTGACTGTGGATTTGGAGTGGAGAAGAAAGCTAGAAATAAAGTTTTAATTTTTTTTTGTATATGGATGTTTTGCCTGCATGTATGTCTATAAACCCCATGTATGCCTGGTGCTTGCAGAGACCAGAAGAGATTTTTGGACCCCTTGAAAGAGCTGCTATGTAGGTTCTAGGAATTGAACTTAGGTCCTTTGGGAGAGCAGCCAGTATTCTTAACCGTTGAACCATGTCTCTAGCCCCCGAATAAGGTTTTAATTTTTTTTGTTTCATATTTAAAAAGTGAGCTCTTTTCCCCCATGTAATGAATCAAATGCATCACAAAGATTACAAATCAATTGTGTTTAGAGCCATATTTTTAAAAATTTGAATTTACTTCTCTATGATCTGCTTGGTGCAGATATTAAATATCAGTACATTTCTCTAAGCAGAGATAAGTGGAAAGAGGGTGTTCCCTTTTGCTTCATCAATAACTTTAAAAACAAATTTATTATTTCTGTCACATTATAGAATACTGTATGGTTTTCCTGTTGAGAAAGAGAAATATGGCAGCGTTCCTCCAGTCCCACCAGAGGAATTCCCTGAATTAGTGCAGACAAGTCAATGGCAAGCTCACCAACCAGACTTGCAGCTCTCAGGAGAAGAAGTAAGAATTCCCTTTAATACGAAGTTTCTCTACCTCATGTGTTCTTAAGCTTTTTGGTCTGTACTCTGTTGGTATTCTTGAACGTTATTGAGGACTTTTATATTGTGAATGTGAACTGTATTTTTGAACATTAAAATGGTAAAACCATGAGTGTTAAATGTGATTCCACAGGGCATGTTTATAAAGTCACAGCTGCCTTTTTCCTTGCAGCGTTGTCTGGCTGTGTAGGCCAGGGTAGGCTGCTTCTAGCTGGTGATCCTTCTGCCTCGGTCTCCTGAGTGCTGGGGTTACAGCCACACACTGCCATGCTTCCCTTCATTACAATCTCCAACACCTAACTATATGGAGAAAACTAGAATTTGTTCCTAAATTTACTCACTTGTCAAATCTCTTTGTATATTGGATTCTCATAAATTCTGCATATTTTTTGGTTGTTTGTTTGGTTAGAATACATGAGAAAAATTCCGACTTTAAAAAGATACGTAGCTGGAAAAGACAAAAATATTTCAGTAGCATTTCTTCTGTAGTTGTGGGAGGGTGAAGATACCAGTAGACTATTAGATGTGATTGCTATATTATACCAGGATCAAATAAATTAAATTAAATACTCACAAAGAGATATACTCAAAAACACTAGAAAATAAGAGCAGAATTCCAAATAGGTCCAAATAACTCAAAGACAAGGAAGAATAGAAAACAGGGAGACAAAAGGAGACTAGAAAATAAAAAAAATAATGTAAATATAATGGTCCTTAATTAAAGGCAAATCCTCTAAATATACTCAATGACAGAGAATGCCAGAAAGTGTTAAAAAACAAATAAACATAGCCCAACTATGTAGTTTCTATAAAAATATGCTAAAAGTATGAGATGGTTTGATTTATATTAGAAAATTTAAAAAGCTATCGTGTAGACACTAATCAAACAAGGATGCTAGTGGCTGTATTTGTATCAGATAGTAAACTCCCAAACCTGGCAAGTTATCAGAGACAGAATCACAGGCAAAGTGTAGATACACCAGGAAACAGTCATGGTAAACTGTTTATGTAGCCAATGTAAAACTGTAAGATATGTGAAAAAAATTCTCAGTCACAGAAGTGACAAGAGAAATGAGGAGTTCTATGATTGCACTTGACTATTTCAAAATATTTTATTTCCAACATCTGACTGCAACATCTAGATAATCAGTAAAAGGTATAAAAGGTTCAGCAAACAACACTGGTTTAATCTCTGATTAAATTTATATTTAATCTATGATTAAAGAGAACATTTTGGGAATCTTAAAATCTACTGACCTGATGAAAATCTATCATGTCAAAGACTGTGGGAGGTAACCCAAAGAAGGCAGAGAAGAAAAATTTTATAGCAGTACATAGTACAATAGAAAAGAGAAAATTCCAAGTCAGTAATTTAAGCTCCTACCTCAATAGTCAAGGAAAAGTACAAAGAGACCTAGAGGAGGCAGAAAGAAGAAGTAACAAGGAGCAGAACTCAGTGGAGTCGAAAGCAGCAGATCAGAGCAGCCAAGGAAAGTGCATTCTTTGACGAGGTAAAATAAGCGAAAATCTCTAGGAAAAACAAGGAAAGAAAGCCACAAATTAACATTAGAAACGAAAACATCTGCAGACCCTGGAGGAGAACAAAAGATTGTGGTGGCGGTAGCATCATAAGCTACTCTCTATGTACATAAATATGAGATCTCCAAATAGATGGAGCAGTCTCTTTCCACAAAACTGCAGCTTACCCTACACGAGAGATAGAACTTTCAACCAGCAGCATAACTAGTAAGGAAATGGAATGATCAAGAAGCACCCTCTTCTTTCCTCATTTCCAGACTCTGGTAATTTACTGGATTTACGGGAGAGATTTCTACTAAGCGGTGAAACTAGGTACTGGTTTTGGATTAGGAGTTGTTTTCTCACTCACCTTCTTTAAAAGGAGAATGTGGCCATTAGCCTTTGGTTCTGGCGTGGGATTGGGGATGGCCTACTCCAACTGTCAGCATGACTTGCAGGCTCCGTATCTTCTACATGGAAAATTTGTCAAAGAGCAGTGACTTATGCTGAGAACATCCCAGTGGGAAGAAGGAGAAACCATGTTTATTCCTCAGGAATACTGAAGTGCCCTGGAGTGCGCTGACGTCCTGTGACAGTGTCCTCAGCAATGCTTTCAACTCCAGCCACTGTTTATGTATTTGAAACCAAGTCTGTTTCTTTTGTATTTTCTCTTTGGAAATTGTAAGGAGGTGATCTTAAATAAATTAAAAGTGGGAAGCCAAAAAAAAAAAAAAGAAAGAAAGAAAAAACTGACACTAGTTCTGTAAAATCCCTTCCCCAAAGAGAAGGAACACTTCCTGATTTTTGGTATTAAGGACATAGAATTGAAATGTACACACAAGGAATTATATGACATGGGATAAAAGGGTAATTCCATATTTAAGGTTGTATCATAGTCCATAATGAAGAAAAATTGCATGATTGAATCAATCAGTACAGAAAAATAATTCAGTGAAACCAACCGAATTTTATGATAAAATTCTCAGAACAACATGAGTGGGGGGGATTCTCTGCAATCTGATAGGGAAATTCAGAGTCTGCACTGTCGGGGTTAGGACTATATTCTGCTACAGAAATAATTTGAGGCCAGCTTGAGACCATAATTTAAAAAATGAAAGAAGGAAAATAGAAAAATATCCACAGGTGACTACTATACAGTTCAGCAACTGCTTGCCTGAGGATCATAAAGAAATGGTAACATAAATCTTGCCTGGACTGCTTGACTGTATGCTGTATGAACTGGACAAGCAGGACCCATAGAAAAATGACTGTTGAACTTGCCAAAAGGTGATACAGTCCTTCAGGGTTCCTGCTCCATGAAAGAACTGCCAGACATTTTGCAGGACACAGATTAAAGCATCTGATGAGCTTTGCCATTACAAGGCAAATCAGATCTTCAAATTTCCTGCTTCATGGAGAAGCTTGCCAGATATTATGGGCCTATAGGCTGAAGATGGGTTCCCCAGCATTACAGAAGAACTTTGGGTGACTGTCCAGGCAGCAAGATGTCTCTGTCAATTCTAGAGTTTTGGAAGTTGCTTACAATGCAGTTCCTGTTTACTTAGATGAAGACTTTTGTTGGAGTTGAAGAGAGAGTCTTTGATGGAGTTGAAGACAGATAGTTATAGTTTTCCTTAGTTATGATAAAAAATAAAATAGATATAAATATTGTAACTATAATTCTTACTTGATACCTGTTTTGTTATATGTAATTTTACTATGTTAAAGTTAAAACCTTCCTTTTTATTTGGAAAGAAAAGGGGAGATGATGTGGGATTCCCCTCTGTATGCTATGAATATGTTTTATTATTATTTATTATATGGTCATTAAAGAAGCTGTTGCAGCCCATGGCTGAGTAGAGTAAAGGTAGGCAGGAAATCTGAACAGAGATATAGAGAGAAAGTAGGTGGAGTCAAAGAGATGCCATGTAGTTGCTGAAGGAGGCAGATGCCCCTGAATCTTACCGGTAAGCCACAACCTCTTGGTGATACACATATTAATAGAAATGGGTTAATTTAAGATGTAAGAGTTAGTTAATAAGAAGCCTAAGCTATTGGCCAAGCAGTGTTGTAATAAAAAAGTAACTTTATAAGAAAATATATTCCAAGAACTTTGGCTATAATGTTTTAAGCAAAATATTGCACATTGTGTTGGTTAGTTTTAACTTTTAGCTTGGCACAGTCTAGAAATACATGCCTGCCTGTGGACCCAGCTTCTGGGTCCAGCACCCTGCTCTGATCTGCTGACTGAACTGGGCTTGGGCTGGGTGTCTTCCAGTGTCACCCCATTGCTGGCTCAGAGTTCTCTATAATCATGTGTCTGTTTTTCTGTTGTTTTGTTTGTGGGGGGGGGGGGTATTGCCACTTTTGTAGATTTCTGAAGTTCTTTATTTTTTTCTCTTAAATAATAGAATAAATAAAAATAGAATAAAGTCTCTTTACTCTATTTTTTCTTTTTCTTTTTTTTTTTTTGCCTTTCCTTCAGTAGAGCACACTGAGGTAGACTCTTGTTTGCCATTTTACCTGTAAGTTTTCCTATTATGTAATATTCCTCACAATGATGAATTGTGAGGCTGTAGAACCCATTGTTGATTTCTAGGGCTCCAGAGTCTGGTTTCCAATGAATGTCTCACCAGAGTAAAAGATGAGTGATCTTTATGATACTGTATCTTGATTGAATAATTGTTAGCATTTTATGTATGAGAGCATATTATAATTTTTAAGATGTTGCCTTAAGGTCAGTTGGGTAAAGGTGGAGGGATCTTTGCACTATTCATTAAAATTCACGTGAATTTACCAAATCAAAAGTATAATATTGCTGGATCTTGAGGTAGATCAACTCCCAGTTTTCTGAGGAACTGCCATGATGATTTCCAGCACTCCCACCAGCAGTGGAGGAGTATTTCCCTTGCTCCACATCTTCTCCAGCATGAGCTGTCACTTGTGTTTTTTATCTTAGCTACTATGACATCTGTACGATCTCAAAGTCCTTTGATTTGCATTTCCCTGATGGCTAAGGACGTTGAACATTTCTTTAAGTGTTGCTCAACCATTTGAAATTCCTCTATTGAGAATTCTCTGCTTAGATCTGTACCCCATTTTTAAATTGGATTATTGTTTTTTTGTGTTTAGTTTCTTGAATTCTTTATTTTGGTGAAATATATGAAGTTCTACACATAGACACACACATATATACACACTACCTTTGTCAGATGTGGAGTTGGTGAAAATCTTTCCCATTCTATAGGTTGTCATTTTGTTTTATTGATGGTATTTTTGCCTTGCAGAGCCTTTCAGTTTCATGAGGTCCCATTTATTGATTATTAATCTTAGTGCCTGAGCTATAGATATTCTGTTCAGGAAATTGTCTCTTGTGCTATTCCCCATTTTTCTTTTTATTATGTTCAGTATGTCTGGTTTTTTTTTTTTGAGGTTGGATATTTAGTTAGTGGGTTATTGAAGGGGAAAGGAGAAGGGAAGAAAAGGGGAGAGAAAGAGAAAGAATGAGAGAGAGAGAGAGAGAGAGAGAGAGAGAGAGAGAGAGAAAGTAGAGATGGAAGCTGCCTCTTCGAGAGGGAGATAGAAAAAGGTATGTCTGGTTTTATATTGAAGTCTTTGGTTCACATGGTCTTAAGTTTTGTGCAGGGTGATAGCTATGGATTTATTTGCATTTTTCTACACACTGGCATCCAATTAGAACAGCATGTTGAAGATGTTTTCTTTTTTTCCATTGTGTATTTCTGGCTTCTTTATCAAAAGTCAGGTGACCATATAAATGTGTATTTACATCTGGATCTTTGATTCAATTCCATTGAACAATTTGTCTGTTTTTATGCCAATACCATGAAGTTTTTATTACTATAACTTTGGGTAGAGTTTGCAATCAGAAGTTCTTTCATTGTTCAGGATTGTTTTAGTTCTCCTGAGATTTTTGTTTTCCATATGAAGTTGAGTATTGTCTTTTTAAGGTCTATAAAGAACTGTGATGGAATTTTGATGGAGATTGTGTTGAATCTGTAGATTTCATTTGGTAGAATGGATGTTTTTTATTATGTTAATCCTACTGATCCATAAGCATGGGAGAGCTTTCCATATTCTGATAATTTTTTAAATTTCTTTTTTCAAAGACTTGAAGTTTTTATCACACAGATCTTTCTTTTGCTTGGCTAGTGTTACCCCATGATATTTTATGTTATTTGTGGCTATTGTGAAGGGTGTTGCTTTCCTGATTTCTTTCTCAACCCATTTGTAATTTGTATAGGAGGTCTACTGATTTTTTTTTGAGTTAATCTTGTGTCTAGTTACTTTACTGAAAGTGTTTATCAGATAGCTGTAGCAATTACTTGGTAGATTTTTTGGGGTCACTTATGTATATTATCATATCATCTGCAAATAACAGTAATTTGACTTTTCCCTTTCCAAGCTTATCCCCTTCATTTACTTCAGTTGTCTTGTTGCTCCAGCTAAAACTTCAAGTAGTGTATTGACTAGATATGGCAAGAGTGGGCAGCTTTGTTTTGTTCCTTATTGTTTTCAGTTTCTCTCCATTTGGTTTGTTGTTGGCTATAGGCTTGCTGTAATTTGCCTTTATCATGTTTAGGTAAAACCATTGTATCCTTAATCTTTCCAAGGTTGTCATGAAGGGGTGTTCGATCTTGTCAAAGACCTTTTCTGCATCTAATGAAATGATCATGAGGGACAATCCAGTGTCTTTAGTAGTGAAATGTGGCAATGCCATAGTGATGGCCACAGCTTTCTAAAATTCTAGTATTTGGCCAGGAACTCCTTTCTGTTGGTTAAACTTTTGGCACTGACAGGTTTACTCTTTTGAGGAAACGCTGGCCATATAGTGTCATTCTTACTGGTTCACAGCTCGTTATTTTCCTTTTTAGGTAAAGACTGTCTACTTTAGTTCACAACTCAAATAGCTGCACATAAACTTTTCCTCTGTGAGGTACCCCTACTGATCCTCTTTACGGTCTTCTCGTCACATTGAAATTCAGAAGTTGTGTACTGAGTGATTGAGATTTAGAAAGCTCTATCATGGTTGTGTGCTTCTCACAGGGCATTTTATAGGTGTTTTGTCTGGGTTCATGCTGACACCATCCATCTTGTTCTTTATGTTTATCCAGCAGTGCAGTGTCATAGTAAGAAAGCAAATCAGCCCCTTCCCCCATTTCTGAATAGATTTTGAAATCTGGTGTTCTGCTTTGAAGTTTAAATACCTTGAAATAAGCTCACATGTCTCTCTCCTTCAGTGAACAGAATGTTCCGACCTCAGGTCATCAGTGTGGCTATGTGGCTTACCAATAGTAGGCTCTAATGCTAATACATACAAGCTCAGAACCATATATATGTATATATGTATATTTCTGTAACTGTAAAGGTTCTGTTAGACACTAAATGGAAGTCAAATATTTTCTAATTAGTGATTCAGTTGCTCTATGTTTCTGCTTTCCTGTCAAATTCCAGTCTCCACTAAGTTAATCATGTTCCTAAAACCCTTAGAACATTTTGAGCTTTAGTGATTCAGTTGCTGTGTGTGTCTACCTTCCTGTCAAATTCCAGTCTCCACTAACCAAGTTAATCATGTTCCTAAAACCCTTAGAACATTTTGAGCCCTGCAGAGTACTTTCCCTTGATTAGCATATCTTTACTGGTTTAATTTGATAAAAGCTCTCCTGAAGGGACATCTGTGCCTTTCCTTGAAAACAGAGCACT